CCTGCAGCCCATCATGGCATCCTGCAGCCCATCATGGCATCCTGCAGCCCCTCACAGCATCCTGCAGCCCCTGACAGCATCCTGCAGCCTATCATGGCATCCTGCAGCCCATCATGGCATCCTGCAGCCCCTCACAGCATCCTGCAGCTCATCATGGCATCCTGCAGTCCTCATAGCAACCTGCAGCCCATCATGGCATCCTGCAAGCCCTCGCAGGGAGCAAAGGGGCAGTACTGATCTCTGCTCTCTGGTGACAGCAACAGAACCCAAGGGGACAGCATGGAGCTGCACCAAGGGAAGATCAGGTGAGGGTTTGCTCTGCCCCATCATCCAGTAATGCCAAAAAAATAACTCCAAACAGAACTGTCGTATGAAACCCATTGCACGCCCACACAGCAGGCAGAAGCAATGAATATGTTTGCAAATGGCAAAGATGAAATTTGGGATCAAAAGGTCTGCCCTCTAGAAGGCCACAGAGGTCGCCCAGGTTTAACAAATAGCTTGGCCTCTGTCAGCAACTTGAATAAACTCATTAGTGGAGCGTGACCTCTGCCTCCATCAAAAGAGTCCTGGAGCCTCAGATCAGCTCCCGGAGCTCCCCCTGCCCACAGCACACCTGTGCCCATTTAGGGCCATAGGGATTCCCTATGCAGCACATGCAGAGATGCACCAGTGCAGAATGGGGAGATGGACATGCAGGATAGGGAGCTTGTAACCCTACACGAGCTTAAATGAGGGGATGGAGAAGGCTCTGAAACTGACAAGGAAGGAGAGCCCTGACCATGCAGTGCCAGCACAAAGAGCCCCCCACTCCTCTCCTCCTCCCCAAGTGCTGAGGGTGGGAGGGGAAGGGAGCAGGAAGGGTGGCAATGCTGATGGGGAAGGCTTCTACCTTACATTCCTGCAGACAGGCAGCAGGGTCTCCCAGCATCCACAGCCATGCCCTCCCCATTCCAGGATGCTGAAGAAGGTGCTGAAAATCCACCAGGGCTATTGCATGGGGATAGAGCAGAGCAGCTGCTGCTCCCTGTCCATGCAGGAACTCCAGGACCTCAGCCTGCAGGCACACGAGGAGGGTGCTGCACAAATCCAGCAGCTCAGAAAGGAAAGGATCAAAATCACTGCCCAGTGAGTGCTGGAGATAGGAAATATTTCAGGAGAGCTCTGGAGAGAGGGCAGCATCAGGGACCATGCACACTACATGCTGCAACTATTCAGCACCAGATCCCCCCAGACATCACAAATCAGAGTCCCCCAACACCCTTCAATGGGAGAGCTTTCAAATTCAAGATTTAGGGCAAGCAACATACGACTCTGCAGTGCAGGATCCCCCTCAGACGTCATCATTGGGGAATTCAAGAGCATGGAAGGGTCTCACAGGAGCACAGTGCCATGCTGAGAGCACTGCCCATCACCTCTTGTGGGGCTGCACGGGGACAGAGGAGCCCATGATCTCATAGAATCATATAAGCATAGAATTATTTGAGTTGGAAGGGACCTTTCAAGGTCTTCTGGTCCAACTCCCTTGCAATGACCAGGGACACCTACAGTTGACCAAGTGCTCAAAGCCCTGTCCAGCCTGTCCTTGAATGTCTGCAGAGATGGGGCATCCACCACCTCCCAGGGCAACCTGTGCCAGTGCTTCACTACTCATCATAAAAAACTTTTTCCATCTGATTTAAATATTTTCTCCTTCTAGGAGGCAAGGCTGTGCCTCCCTTCATCCCCCAGCCTGTACTGGTAGTGGGGATTGCCACCAGTCAGCATTTGCTGAACCTCATGAGGCTCTCCTGGGCCCACTGCTGAAGCCTGGCTTCCATGGTGTCCTGCCTAGGTCTCTCCTTCAGCAGACACAGGCTTGGCATTCATGTCTACAGGGAGGTTTTGACTGCTCACAAAAGGATGAGAACATCACTATGATGGAGCAGTGCAAAGCTTCCATCAGAGCAATGCCCCAGGATTACCCTGGGATATTAATGCTAGACACTGCTCTGCTGCTTTCCATTCCCTACTCCATCCTGATCCCACTTCCCATCTTCACCCCCACTGTCCATCCCCATCTCCATCCCCTCCTCACATTGGCAGCATCAGCCCATTGGGAAGCAGCTTTGCCCACAAGCCGACTGCCCTCTCATTGAGCACAGCCTCCCAGATCGCCTTCCCTCCTGCCTTGGTTTCTAAGGTAAAGGAGATGAATTCATCAGAACCATTGAGCTCACATTTTCATCACCACGTGGGGCGTTTCTGAAGCCAAGCAGAGGTGGTGGTGAGATCCACCCCAGCCTTGGCACGGCACCACCACTACCTCCATCTCACCCCAACCCAAAAATGCCTTGGCAGCACAAAGCCGCCCCCCTGCCAAGCTCACAGAGGAAACATGAGGCTCCCAACTTCCTCCAGTTCGGCTTCCATCCCCGTCAGTGATTTGAGGACACAGCTGAAGGTCACCGTACCTTTGTAAAGCACATTACACGTTCCCATTGCACACCTCCTTCCCATCCACCCCCATATGCTATTTTGAAAGCGATTTGCTCTCCTTATGGCTCCCCTATTCGTTTGCACATCTCCCACAAAACAATTCCACTCAATAGCCTTTATTTCTCCCTTTTTTTTTTTTTTTTTTTTTTTTGCTGGCACAAATTGCAGCGGGAAAATATGTTATTTGGCTTAAAAATCACCAAGAAAAAAAAGCCATCAACAGAGCAGTACGAGTGATGTGGGGATAGAAACCCTTTGCTACCAGGATGAGAAGCGGAAGAACTCATTTCAGTGTTCGTGGGCCTTACAGCAAACCAGGAGAGCTGCATCTTCCTCATCTCATGCTTTGGGGAGACTGCAAGCAGCGCAGTGATTCCTCAGCTCTGTGCAGAGCAGCTCCAGAGCAGCACAGCTGAACGCACCGCGATGCTGCGATCGCAACGTTTCCCAGCAGCACATCAAACTCAATTAGGGATTAAACAGAAACGTCCGGACACAATTAGAAATTGAGTTTGAGGTCTTTTTTGCATCCTCGCTCATTCTGACTTCTGCATGCATTTCTGCTGCTCCTGTGGCTGCGTGTGCGATGCAGTCTCATCTCAGAGCTAACTCCTCTCCAAGAGCAGCTCCTTCCCTCTCACCAATGCCCCCACTATTTCCAGTATAGCCCCCAATTTGACAGGTGGTGCTCTCCTGCAGTGCTGACTCTGAAATCCCAACGCACCTTTATGGCCATCATGCACTGTGTAGGTATGTGTCAGACCCCTACAACACTTCAATACTGTCATAATTCCTCTGTGCAAACCAACTCAAGGCTCTGGGCAGCCCAGCCTGGTGGTTGGCAACCCTGCCCATAGCAGGGGGGTTGAAACTAGATGATCATCATGGCCCTTTTAAACCCAGGTCATTCTATGATTTTATGAGCTCTCTGAGTTTCCACACGCTTACTTTAATGGTTTGGGGTCAACCTTTTGGAGACTTCTATTTCACAAAGCATTTAAAAAATCAACCTTCCTACTCTTTCCGGGGATAGGCACAAATTTCACAATGCTGGAAGTTCTTTGCATGGTGGAAACCCTGCTTTCTCACCACCTCTACATAACAGGTGTTCGTTGTTTTCCGAAGCATGAAATAAGCAGCAGTGTTTGTTCTGAAACTGGGATGTGGACTGATTTTCAACAGTGCCACCCTCAAGGTACTGAGCTCCAGGAAGCAGAGAGTTTTACAAGCATAAAATTGGGTAATTATGCCATAGCCTTTGTGATGAAGGTGGGAGATTTGTACAACTGCTCTACACTGATTGGGAAGAAAACACAGCCAGATAGCACAGAGTTTCATTTCAGGGGACCAAGCAGCTCCTGTGATGCACACATCTCCTTTTCCCTAACATACATTAATAGATCATTATATCCACTAATAAATCTCTTGCTATATAAAAATAGATTTTTTATACGTAAAAAAAGAAACCTAATTGTAATTGCAAATTGGAGGGGGAAGGAGGCAGAAGAAGAGATAAAACTTCCACCGAGATGTCTCCTTTGAAGGAAACCGAACAAATGTACTTTCCTCCTTCATATATTCATGAGCTGATGCTTCCCTACCCCACTCCCTACCACCCTCGGCTCCGGGCTCCAAGCCAGCACTGTCCTTATCTGGTACGAGGCAGGAAGGAGTCCTGATACGATCACAAGTTTTCAGCAGTTCAGCAAACGTGGAGAAAAGTCTCCGCCGGACTTTAAAACAGCCTGGGGAGGGGGGATGTGAGTGGTGATGGGAGCAGTGCTGCCCAGCGTGGTCCCACAGCGGGCACAGGGGAGAACCCGCAGCCCTTTGGGTTTGGAACCAGCAGTTACCTGCTGCAAAGCTGTGACCCCTACACACGTCTGGAGGTTCATCTCAGTGCTCCTTCTCCTTTGGAAAAGCCAGAACTGGAGGAGCTCGTAGGTGCCTGTGATGCACAGGAGACAGGCTGACTTCAAAAACACCCTGATTGTAAGAAAAAACGCACCCCCTCCCCAGCACCCAGTGCCCCCACCTTCCTCATCCTCTCTCCAGTCACGGCGCTCAATCACTTGCCAGCTAATTGCCTCCACTCATGTGTGCAAACTAACCGTTTACTGGAAAATGCCACGGAATGTTAATTTCATTTGGAATTGGGTAATTGCAAAGAGCTCCCGTTTTTTTTATTTTTATTATATGAAATGAATAAGCGTGGTATTAATAGCATCACTTCCAGCTCCGACCACAATCGCAGCCCCGTCCACACAGGCTGTGAGTTATTTGTCACCCCTTCCTT